TAGATTTAGTGTATTTACGTGTAATGTAGAGATTCGGAACATTTCTGTCAGCGAGGCGAGGCATTGTACTTACTTAAAAAATACTGCTTCGTGACATCATACGAGACTTATTTTTACGAGATAGCATGATAATTACCGCGATCCACGAATCAAGGTTATCCGGGCATTTAGGTTACGGTTGTGTACCATAGCGGAATAACGTAAAATTGATGGATGTGGTCTCATTATACCATAGGTGCTCGGATGAGGAGCAGGGGATCCTTTCACGAAGCAACCTTTACTAAGGTTAACCTTAACTCCCATTCTTTAACGACCTCCGTGGTGTAGTGGTTAGAGCGATCGCCCGGAGAGCGGAAGGTCGCGAGTTCGATCCCCGACCGCGTGATACCAAAAGACGTTAAAATATGGTACTTGTTGGTCCCTGCCTGGCGCTCGGCAATAATGGGTACAACAAGGACTGGTCGGCTCGGAGTCAGCATAATGTGTCTGAGTGGGGTATTCCTGCTTCACTGCGGCTTGGTATCTCAGTGGGTTAGCACTATAAAACCAGCTTCAGTCTGGGCTAGTACAAGCAGCTGCACATACACACGCATGCACGTCGTCACATTAGCGAAATATTCTCAAGCACGACGTAAAACCCAATTTCACCTCCTAACCTCACCCATTCTTTAACATCACCTTAGTGCTTTGTGGAAGGAGGCCCTGATCTCAGATAAACCCCATTACGATCCATAGTTCATGCGCAAGATACCCGTATTGGTGGACAGGGTAATTCTCTGTGGTCAGTAAGCATTTACAGCGCGGTGTCATGACGGAGTGGTTAAAGCGTTCACCAAAGACTCGGATTCGATTCACCGCATGTGTAGAATGTGTGAAACTCATTTCCAGCATACCTGGTATGATATTGCCAAATTATGTTTAAATGCTGAGTACATCCCGACTCGCTCACCATAATTCTCTCATTATGACTGAAAACCCCGTGAAACCTATAATACCACATGAGGCTGATACATTACCCGAATGTTTGTATGATATGTTTACAAATATGTTTACATTTGTGTTTTGCGTTACACGTGAGAACAGCCTTAAGAGCGAAGAAAGAAAGATCAATTAAAAGTTTATTAAAACGTAAATGTAGCATAAATCCTGACTATCCCACCCACACTGTCAGTATGACTGAAATACCAGTGAAAAGTAACGTTGATCCAAACCCACATGCTGCCACACACTGCCTATTGCGTTTATTTAATCATAATACACTCTTCCCAAAAGAGAAACGCATTGGCGTTTTCAGCAGTTCATTTAGATATATTTTGACAGCAATCATCATTAAGACAATTCCTATGTTTGAATCCCGTTACTCATTTCGTGGTTGTTGTGTATTGCGCGCAAACGCATCCCAAAATGTGTTGGTAAACGTTTGTCACAAAAAATGAAAACGACACATGAAAAGTGCATGCAGAAAAGGTTTTCAACGGAATGAACGTGCAATATGTCGGACACATCGACTCTTAAAGGGGCCAAACTAAATTCATCATTTCATTACGAAATGTACAACGTAAACAAACATACAAAATGCCAAGATTGAATGCTACTGACCGAACTATTACCATTGGACGTTTGGTAGCAGGGGAGTCCCAGTCTGCCACTTTATCGTCCACCACAGCACCATATCTCGATTATGAAATCGATATACCTGCTTCAATTTGACCCAATATCGTCCCAAAAGTGGAAGACCAATAGTGACTACTCCTGCTCTGAACCGATTTATCCGTGTGTTTCACCTACGTCACCGATTTGCTACAGCAATGGACACCGTAAGACAGGTGCTTGGTCTTCGAAGAATTCCGACCAAACCATCAGAAATCGTCTGACAGAAGTGGGAATTCGAGCATATCGTCCAAAAGTTAGACCTCCCCTGACACGACTACACCGACAACGACCTGTCCAATGGTGCAACAGGGTACCGTCATGGAACCTGGGGAACGCATGGAACGCGTTTCGTTCAGCAATGAATCGCGTTTCCTCCTGCAACGACAGGATGGGTGACAACGTGTCTATCGACGTCAACACGAACGTTTTGCGCCGAACTGCGTCCGACAGGTGGACAGATTTGGTGAAGAGAGCGTCATGTTGTGGGGAGCCATGTCCTTCACGGGTAGATCAGAGCTAGTGGTAGCAGATAGCTACATCGACCAATTTCTGCGACCTCACCTCTTCCCACTTTTTAACCGCCAGAGGGAGCTGTTTCAACACGACAACGTACGCTCGACCCTACACAGCTCGTGTAACATGTGCCAATCTCGCACATAGTAAATGCTAATGTCCTTCTCTGGCCTTCCAAATCGCCTGATCTGAACCCGATCAAGCATCTATGGACGAACTTGATCGACGCGTCCGTAAACGTCACCATCGTCCTCAGAGGTTTGCAGAATTTGCGAACAAGGCGGTGTCGAGCAGTGACGTTTGCACGGGGTGGTGTCACCAGGTACTGACCTGAACGCCCCCTTGTGTCCACACATGTGCAGTGAGTGAACTGAATTAATGCTGACAATGACAACAATACATATGTTCATCCGTGTGTCGAATTTCCTTCATCTATGTCCAAGCTTATTCGACTTAAGTACACTTAAATACGTTTAATAAATGTCCTTATTCTTGCGTTTCTTTTTTTGAAGAGTGTAGTTAAGCGGTTTGGCGTAGCGTGGTGGTTAAAACGCTCGCTCGTCACGAAATCATGGGTTCGATCCTCCAAAGGGAGTATGGAATATTGGTAAAAGCACGTAAAACAGTAGTACTATTCAGTAATCTCAAAAGTTTCTTGTAACAAATGTGAGATCTCGCGGGAGCCAAATCATTGATGAAGGCGACAGATCTCGGTCAGAGCAGACAATGACATCGCCATCGCTCTACAACTTCCTTCTACAACCCCATGACAACTGATACTACACTACGTACTTTATGTGCTCGCCTTCTCCCCAAGCGACCGTGTCCTCGTGTAGACGGTAGACACATTACCCTGGTATTACATGCCTGATCTTTTTCCTGTCCATCTTCCAAGAAAATAAAATGAATCTAAGCTCCTCCTGTAAGTGGACAATCCGGTTTCCGTTGCGCTTCTCTAAAACGGACAGCCAGCGTAAGTTACGATGCGTTCCGAAACAGGACGTATTGGGGTCGGATGTCGATACATGTCACGTTCCGGCAAACCGCCGTATCTACTTATTCTATTTCCCTCGGGCCCAATGTCGAACACAGAAAGCCAGCATGTGATTTAACGGTTCAGTGGGGTCTAAAATTAGAAGAGTGGGTTACAGGTAATGTGTTTTCCGTGTGAGTAAATATTGTGATGTAGGTACATTTTCGGTTTTGAGAAATTCATTTACCATTTCTCCTTGGTTTTGTTTCTTCTGTTTTCTGCATATGATGTACCACGCAATGCGATCTGATTGGTTCGCACTGGGACACATTGGGTTTTCATCGCGTTTTATACGACAGCCGTCATGATTTACGTTCACTGTTACCTTCATAAAGAGGACATGTTGCCATGGCAACGACGCCGCGGTGGATATGGACGTTGTGCAACCCACATGAAACTCTCAACGTATGTTGAAATGAAGAAGTTCGCTTAAATATTCATGTATTTTGTGAATTGTTATTTTTTTCTGAGAAACTTCCCTTTTTGGTAATTCAGTAGTCTCAAGGGATTCAGATGAATTATAGTTGTATGTGATAATCTGTCTACATCGACAGATTCTTAAAGGTCACATAAACACTAGGGGGTACAAATACATAAATCACTAACTGGCATCGTTATAAATGAAACCCCGTCATCAAAACTACTCATTTCGACCTTTAATTGACTTAAATCGACCTTTTTGACAACAGTGCACAATTCCCACCCGCGAACGAAATTTCAACCAATCAGAGCGGCGCGCGTCTGTGACGTCATATGAGGAATAGCTTTGAGGGCCGATGCAGAATTCATCTACATTTTAGGGGTTAAATTATCTTGTTTACAGGCTTGTAAAACCTGAAATCGTGACAATTGTTGTGGAAAATAAAAGCTATATGTTCTCACAATCTACTGTCATTTAATTTTGTCTCCTGCTTTGCCTAGTTTCCGAGTTACAACTTGTTTTCATAGACGATTCTGTCAAAATCGTTTGGTGTCGTTAGGCCCTATTTGTATAATGACTGATCCAAATCGGTCCCATTTCTGTGTTTTTTTACCTCGATATTTAATCATGTCATGTAAAAATCTGTTTGTATTCTCAAAACAGTGTCGGCCCATAAGTTTTCACATGCAATACAGCAATTAATACTCCCTTGTTGTAACCCGCGTTAGGTGGTATAAACCTACACATGTTATTTGTCATCATTCACTTGATGGTCAGTTAATGAATTTATAACAGGTATAATTAGTGGTAACACACTCAGATTACCCGACAAAGGTTCCCATTTGGCATTTCTTGTGTCTGGAGTAAATATTCAACATTATAAACATCGATCAAAGGATTAACCGATAACACGCTGATTGATTAATTACTTTTATCTTACACAGCGGAATTGTCAAAAGGTAGTGTTTATGTATGTAGATTTACTAATCTATACTGAATACACTCTGTCGTGTCGGTATCTGAGTAAAAACAACGTCCTTCTTTCAAAGGATTAACCGGCAATACATTGATTGATTGCCCATTATTGGCTAACTAAATTACTGTTTTTAAAGAAAGGCGGACATTATGCAATTAGTTGCCAGGTGTGCTATCTTGGGTGACCAATGAGACTATACACCAATACCTGAAAAGATTTATCACTTTTTCGTATATTAAACTGTTAAAAGACACATCATTTGGAACAGTTTTGTGGATATTGATGGATACATTCCTCGAACAAGGTAATGGCCTGATATTGTTCCTATAACTTTAATCTGTTTTAATTTTAATATTTGCATTTTGATTTTATTCATTTGTCGTAGCATTCAACAGAATCATTGTTTTCGCCGTGAAGTGTAATGAGTCAGACAACATGCACTAGGGTGTGTGTGCTAATTATGATTCACACTGGCAAACTATAAAATGTCTAGATATTACAGTTCTGTTATAAATTCACTATAAGTATCAGCAGATTGTCTGCTTTTTATTTAGTTTCAAAATGCATACAAGTATGATAATAAACTAATTAGGATTATAAGACCAAATATAAAGACGCACTTTGACTAGTATCTACATACTGGTGAGTGGACATTAACCATGGGAATGTAGCAAGAAACTTATCGCGCAGTATTGTGACTTCGACCCCCACCTCGTTTCCGTGGAAGAAATCGTTATGTTATAAGTTGTGTCATGCAAAATCCGTTTGGTTATGATTCCAATACATATTTAACTACGAGTAGAAAGTAGTCTTGATTATCTAACTTGATGAAAACAAACTATAATCTCATTAATTCTAACAGATTTTTTATTTTTAAAAATGGCGGCGCCCTGTCGGGAACATCCGCCAGTCTGAGGATAAATGGTATTTAGGTTTGTTTTCACCGAGTTACAAATCAAAACTACTTTCTACTGGTAGTAAAATATGTATTTTATTGATGGCCAATAGGATTTTGCATGACATAGCGTATAACATAACAATTTCTCTCGTGGCAGCGAGGTGGGTGTCAATATAATACTACTTACAATATTATTGTTACTTCGACCACAACCTCACTTCCGAGGAAGAAATCGTTATGTTACAAGTTGTGTCATAGAAATCTTTATGGTCATCAATCATATGCATATTTTACAACAACTAGTAAGTAGTTTTGATTCTTTAACTTCAGTGAAGCGATCTGAACACAAGTAAGATATCGTTTCAGGCTTCCACACCGCTTGCTTCGCACTCACAAACATAACCGATTTAGCACGAACTGCGGGGTCCTGTGGAAATCTGTGCATGGGGACACCATCGCCCGACCCCTAGGAGCAATTGGCGACAAAGCAACGATTCGGCATGTCATCGTTGATGTCGAGAAATCATCAAAATGATGAGCGTGCTACACATTTTCTATACAACTAACTGACAATCGTTCCTCATATGACGTCACTGCAGCGCTCTGGCGACATAGTTACGTAACCTGTCTGTGGTTTCGTTGGCGGGCGAGAGGGAAGCAGGCGACTCTTTGGCCACTTTTAATCGCTCGGTATTAATTAACCACAAGTTTTTAAAGAATAAATTTGGTGTTCCGCATAAGACTAACCACAAATCTTTCATATGTAATGGTTAAAAAGAGTAACAAAAAACAAAGTTTAGTGGTTCTTTAAACGAAGACACCACGTTAGCCGACAGGATCCGAACGTTGTTCCGGGAACCTTGAGAAGGGGCAAGAAGTAGCCCAGAGACGTCGTGTTATACAATAAAGAAGACGTTGTCATCCATATACTCGTCTTATATATTCATCAACTTCTAAATGCCTCTCAGGAATCTTGGCTACAATTAGTTTATGCTTCATTTGAATGCTTAGGGGGCATTAAACCGCAGGTGGGGAATCGCTTGAGAGTAGTCAGCAATTGCTGAATGCTGATCGGATTCATCTAAAAAACAAACACAAGATGAGAAGATGAACCTCCTGAATGAAGTTTGGAATGCAGTAGGTCACAGGGTGTTGTTGTCATTGGCAGTATACATAAACTGAATAAGGAGGAAACAGAGATGAAGACAAACCAATCAGCTAGCCAGCTGCCATCCAGTCTGGCTGCCCAACTTGGAACATATTGCTGTTTTCGTACTGAGAAGGCCTCAAATATCAAAGTCATTATGTATATAAGCACAGTTAGATTGATCGTTGGCTGAAATAACTACGAAAAATTAGCATATCAAACAATGCCACATAAGGCTAATAGTGAGTGAGTTGAGATATACGCAATATTCCAGCAACATCACGACGGGGAACACCAGAAATGGGCTTCACACATTGTAGCCATGTGGGCAATCGAACCCGGGTCTTCGGCGTGACAAGCGAACGCTTTAACCACTGGGCTACCGCACCACCCCTATAAGGCTAATATGTAACCCGAAGTAGGAATCTTTCAAAACCACACATCGGTACTATCAACTGTTGGCTTTACCTGTCCCTACCAACACTTTTACTTTAATACTGGAAGAGGCGACTAACGGGATCTGGTGGTCAGGCTCCTTCAGTAACCCATGTTGTCGTTAGACGCGACTAACGGGATCGGGGGTGGGGTGGGAATATGGGCAGGCTCCTTCAGTAACCCATGCTTGTCGTAAGAGGCGACTAACGGGATCGGGTGGTCAGGCTCCTTCAGTAACCCATGCTTGTCGTAAGAGGCGACCGACGGGATCGGGTGTTCAAGCTCGCTGACTTGTTTGACATCGGTTCCCAATTGCGTAGATTGATGCTCATACTGTTGATCACTGGCGTAAAACTAAACTCACTCACTCACTTTGGTACAGAAATATATAGATATATCTAATCTGTACAAAAGGAGATGTATTGCATCAAATATTACCCCAGTCCCCGCCCCATCCCCCTAACCTCCATCTCAATTTGAACCCTAACCTTTAACGCTGAGTTTATGTGTGTAACTGGAAAACAATGTTTAAGCGCAGTTTTGAAATGAAAGGAGGAAGGTACATCAGTAGTAAGTGAGTGAGTGAGTGAGTTATAGTCTGTTTGCAGAGAAACGTACCCGATGAATTTCACTTTAAACAAAAATGTTAATCAAATAAAAGTGAAATTAAGATTGCATTAAATGAAACACCGAGAACAAGTAGGGTTGGTCTAAGTTAACGCTCGTCACGTACCGCACGTGCATTTGTTTCACTGTTCCAACTACTGCGGCTACCCCCTTGTAATACAAACCAATAATAGCGATTTGAAACTATACTTCTTCTATCAAAAGTTAGAACTCACTAGTGTAAATATAGCCACTTGCTTCAGGCAACTGTTCTAAACTAAATTTTGCAAAATATTGCGCACTGTTTACAGTTACTGTTTACACATGAACTGATGTATTGTAAAACAAATTCGTAACGTTGAAAAGATTATTGTCATGAGTTCAATAAATGATAAAAATCAGTGAAAATTGGCGCATTCTTAACAAAACTTTACACCAAAACGCAGCTGTTCACATGCACGATATTTGCACAATCATGCTTTTCAGCAATTTGATGCATGATCCTCGTACAATTCATCTGCATTGGGTTTGCAGTTGGTTTCCCCAAGTTAGTTGAGAAATCAATCTTCGATGTAACCATATATATATGCATAACATATAGTGAGTATTTTCAGTGAGTCTAAACTTTTGATGGGATGTATATGATCGTTTGAAACTTTTATCCCAAGCTGAATAAAATTCTCAGATTTATATGTTCATTTGGCGAGTTAAACTTATGAGAATTCGCAATCTTAATTTCACTTTATTTGATTTACGTTTTTGCTCAAAGTGAAATTCATCGGTACGTTTCCACCGCAAACACTGCTTTCAGCAATATTCCAGCAATATCGAATCGGGACCCAGTACGTCAATAGCATGTAAGTATATGTACACAACACACCCTTCACAACATGTGACAGCAGCCTTATGAGCGAAGAATGAAATTTCAAAAGCTATCAAAAGGTAAGTGCTATAAATGAAAGTTAGTGCTATTTTGAAAACAAATCTTATACGTAATTGTGGTATGAAGATGAACATTGCAGGACGCAAACAGAATGTTGAAGATTATTCCGTATTTGGGAGCAAAGCGTTGGAAGTATGCGCACGAAGTAATCAATCAATCAACCAATCAGTCAATCAATCAATCAATCAATCGCATATTCAGTGGTATTGCCACATGGCCTAGAGTACAGTTATCTGAGAGTATATACATATGTAATCATGTGATGGATCTTAGACGAAACACATGCTTCAGGAATATTGCAACAGATTTAAGGGTATTTACATTTTTTTGAGTTTAACAGGTTTGTCATTGTATACATATTCTTAATTTGATATGGACATGGCAACTTCTTTCGTAAACTGGGATACTTTGAACAAGCGAACAAGACATGAAATTCATCCTCGATGCTGTAATCATTAAAACTTGTACAAAAGATAGTAACGTCTTAGTGATTTGAATATAGAACGTAGAACGTAGACTTTTGTCATAGTACAAGGTACAGAGTAGAACGTCTTTGTAATAAGCGAATGCCAAACGAACGTGCATCGTGTCATAGTACCAGGTACATTATACAGCGGAAACATCATTGTAATATGTAATTGAAGAGTGTACAACATACAATATGTACGTGAAGGTACATTGTAGAACGTCATGGTAATAGACGTAGGCAGCGTTAAAAGCTCCAAGCAACATGCCATATATCAAGGTAGTTTGAAGAACGTTAAATGTGTGAGAACAGACTGTAAAACACACGTGCAATATAGAAAACCAGAAGGTAATGTGTTATTGCAATACATGAACGCAGACGAATGAACGCATGTGCAAAATGTAAATAAAGTGATCTGATGTTTTGTATGGATAGGTTGCGATCAGCTTATTGTGTTAGGAACATATGAGTGTTTGCTTGAACTGAAGGACTGCAGTGCGTGGGTACAGCACGTGGATACAGTGCGTTGGCGTACGGTAATTAGAGTTGCGTGTTGCCAACATTGAACGCTTCAACAGATCTCAAGGCATGTCAATCCTCCTCTCATTAAAAGCAGGAAACGTTGTTACAATATCAAGAGATGCAATGACATCATATTGCGAAGAGCAACTTCTTAATAGGAAATACTTCTTTGACGTACACATGTCAAATATATACATGTACCCCGATGTTTTGATTGAGTGGCATTCTAGGAGTTGGTGGTATAGATGACAAGACTTTATGGATGAACTCCTTTATTTTGACAATGGCGACGTTTCGGTATAGATTCTTACACCGTTTTCAAGCATATACCATATACCAATGTGTTATTCATCCAATCAATATAGGGACGGGGTAGCCTAGTAGTTAAAGCGTTCGCTCGTCACGCCGAAGACCTGAGTTCTATTCTATATATATAGGTACAACTATGTGTGAAGCCCATCTCTGGTCCCTCGCCGTGATAGTGCTGGAATATTGCTAAAGGCGGCGTAAAACTAAACTCACTCACTCAGTCAAATTGAATGTATATAATACGAAACCGAACCATGATTCTATTATGAGCATATTTTGTATGATCGGGTTTTTTTTGCATGTGTTATTTTCAAGCAGACGTCTAGTTTTTCTGCTGTTACTTTGATGATGACGCCACATGGGAACAAAATGATCAAAATGGAACATTAATGCTATATGCGTAATGTGTATATTTTCTTTGAGCAATATGTGATTGATGTGAACCAATAGCTGTATACATTCCTTCGTGGGGTTAAACATCTATATATTGTATGTGAACTTACTTGCCGATATACATGGTTGGCTGCATGTACCTTTCATTCATGGAGAGCGGAAGGTCGCGGGTTCGATCCCCGACCGCACCATACCAAAAGACGTTAAAATATGGTACTTGTTGGTCCCTGCCTGGCGCTCGGCATTAATGGGTACAACAAGGACTGGTCGGCTCGGAGTCAGTATAATGTGTCTGAGTGGGGTATTCATGCTTCACTGCGGCATGGTATCTCAGTGAGCTAGCACTATAAAACCAGCTTAAGCCTGGGCTAGTACAAGCAGCCGCACATACACATACACACGCATGCACGTAGTCATATGAGCGAAACATTCTCAAACAAGACGTTAAACCCAATTTCACCTCACCTCAACTCACCTCACCTTTGATTCATGTCACAGAGAGCAACATGTCAGCTTCATTCTGTAAACAATCGCATCTCACAGACCAACCAATGATTGATAGCATGACCACGAATTACGCCGTGCGAATACGGAGACGTAAAATCAAAGAAGTCGCAGTTTCAATGCCAGACCTACACCTTAGTCTGTTCTTACAACAACAATGCAGTACTAAGGACTAAATCTTAAAAAAATCAATATCAATTTTATGGTCGAATATTAATGATTAAGATACCAAGGTGAGATAGTGTCAGTGGCAAACCAACTTCTATCTCGAAACAGAAAAGTACATGTAAACATTTATTTAATGAGCAGTTAATCATAAGAAAAGATAAAATCTTATGACAAAAATAACCAATTTCTCCAAACGAGATTTCTGATAAAAATGTCAATCGAAAGAAATTATTTGCTTTGAGTAATAATGAAGAAATATGACGGAATTGGCATTTTTAATCGTTTGAAATCAATTGTTAGCTAAAAACACCCCATCATAATTATATACTTTGTTTGAAATTGATTTTACACATTGCGATCAATTGGTCAATTATAGTTGAACAACAAACCATCCCACAACGTATTCATACCATCTCCAGATTGTTTTTCTGTAACCTGTTAGAAAGTTGTGGCAAGAGCTGTGTTGTGTACACGTTACCAAACATCTTCAGATATCATGAAGAGGTAGGTACGGCAAACTCAAACTAATGAATAGTTAACAAGCACTATTAAAATTGGTTGCACGAAAACGTGACAGATGTAATTGATTCAGAGAACTGGCGTTGGGATGGCATACTACCTAGCCGCACATACTTCAATTCAATACAGACGATCTTTAAGTATAATTTCAAGCGAAGCTGTGAGAAAAATGATTTGTTTTGGCAAAAACAGTATTTGCCCATTTTACTTCGATATAAAAACGATCAAAACCATTCCATATGCATGATATGATATGCAGATATTTGTATTAACAGCTGTCCATTGTACTTGTAGTTCCAACTGAATCAAAAGCATGTTTATGAATGACAATGAAACAGTGATGATAACAGGTATAGTACGGGTTTAATTATGCTTTCAAATTCACTAACTAAGTGTAATAGGGATATATCAATGCATATAACTTTGGAAGATGTTTATATTGAACTGTGGCGATACGGAAAGAACATGTTATCATCGCACAAGAAAGATCAGCTGAATACAAAATGCAAATGACATTTTATCTTTATTGTTTCCTTTTTTTGCCGTCAACGGAAATGCCAATGAAATGTGTAATAGTCAAAAGAAGTTAAAAAGAAATTCAGATTATTTTTATTTGATTAAAGTTAATCTGTCACGACCTGACAGATTAACTGTAGTCATGTGAAATGATCAGGTGTTATTTGGAGTAGTATGTAATGATGAAAACCTTTTTTAAATCATTCATCATTTTGAACCAGTATATTTTTGGTTAAAAGTAAATTTTAGGGAATCTGAGCAGGAAGGGTTACTATTGTTACAATTCAACATATTTAAGTCCACATGGAAGGTTGTATAAATACATATAGTAAAGATATTACAAGTCATGATGCACAGGTCATCCTGTGTTGCATCTTGATAGTTCATGCCAATGTTACAACTTTACTCCTCGAACAGAGGCGGTGGGTAGCCTAGTGGTTAAAGCGTTGGCGCGTAACGCCGAAGACCCGGGTTCGATTCCCCACATGGGTACAATGTGTGAAGTCCATTTCTGGTGTCCCCAGCCGTGATATTGGTGCAATATTACTAAAAGCGGCGTAAAACCATACTCACTCACTCACTACTACTCGATCTGTGTTCCAATCCGGACCAGCCAAAACCAGTGTTTTTTATTTACGATGACCGATGACCCAGCGAAACCAGTCGTTAAACAGCGATAAAAACCCTCTCCCCATTTCCAGTTATTTTTTTATGACACAGACACTTACAGCCTTCTTTGCATAATTTGCAAGCATTGATAGACAAGAAACTCTAACTAGGAATACGGTCACACTGAGTCGCTTGTTTCAACATGTTAGATGTCGTAAACTTTCCGTTGCTATTTTGGAAGACGTTTGAAAAGCCCCTGCAACATCAAATTATAATTATCGCAATTTCAATGATCTTCTGAAGGTTATGGATCCATAAATGTCGTAGGGAATTATAGCAAATACTGTAATCGCCGCAGTCATAACGTTACTCCGGTTGCCCATTGATCATGGTGTCAGAATATAACGTTAACATCCGAGAGTTTGTTGGTAGTGCCGTTCCGAAACAAATGCCATTATTATTTGTAGATTAAGAGATAATGACCGGTTTACCTGACTTATATTTCAATCGTTGTATTTGCTTTGAGTTCATGAAGGCAAATTTATGGGGATATATTTAGGCGTATTTATCAGACAATCCCGTCAAAATACCCCATGATTCGTTCGGGCGAACTATTTGCAAATCATCGGAGGGTTTCCGGTTGTGAGCGAGTCAAGAAATCCATACCGGGCTTGTCTTTTTGTGGAGAAAGGTAGAAAATAACAAATTAGGATCGCGAGTAAGGCGTCTGTGCGTTAAGTGTTGACAAAGAGTAGCACCAATAACGCATCAATCATAATATTGATGCGGGATTTTTTGTCCATCTGCGGAAGCGAACGGCCGTAATCCGCCGGAAAGCGCATTAGTTCTTGGCTTTTGACAAGCGTCGGAACATTTGACAAAGTATCGCACTTGAGTGAAGTATCCCTAGTGATGATATTTTCCCGCAGACTCATTACGATAGAAAGGAGTAACGGTAGGCCTCTTCTGGCCCATATGCGTATTTATCATTCTCAAGTCAATCAGGCAGGAGACAAATTAACTATATTGGATCTTCATCATCTCAATACAGATCTCCAGTCATGCCTGCATTAGGGCGACCTCTAGCTATGCAGGGTGGAGAATCTGTGTGTGTCTAGCGGGACGGTCATGTCTAAATTCGCCCAACGTGCACCGTACATTCCTTACAGTTTATGCAAAAATTAGAAGGGTGATTGATTTTATAGGGACTAAAGAATGTCAACACCGGCTAGCTTAGAAAAAAGCGACTCTCTGTGGCGCTGAAACTTCTTGTGAAAATGATAGGATTTAATGAGGAGTCGGATGGAACTCAATAGCGCTGACATGAGCAAAGTCGAGTGACCGCATGGGGAAGGGAGGGAAGAGAATCCTGCTTCATAGGGTTTATTGTCGCTGAGGACATTTTGTGTAGACAGAAATGACGTATAGCTAGTCATTCGATACTCGCCTGCTGTGACACTACTGTAAAACGATATAAGGTTAATAGGGAGAGGACATGTCTTCGGAAGTCTAATGAAAGGATGTTACCGTTATCAGAGTGCTTGTTGTGGTAATTATGAAGAGGAAGGTCAGTTTGGCAAAAACATGGTTGAAAAAAAAAAATATTTTTATATTTGATGAAATGATTCAAGTTGTACGTGAGCTGAGATATACCGAAAGAACTGTCCGAAAATAGGTCGACTTCAAATTTGTGTATTTCAATGCGCAACTCGGTGTTTTTGGTTTGGTCTAAAGAAGTTCTGTCACTGTTTAGAAGGAATGCTACTGAAATTCGTTGACTGGCGTCAGTTCCTCATTTATTTGGCGCAATGTTTTAAACAAAGGGAGGTAGTTCCAATGGTAGACATGGGGGAAAATGTGAATGGTAGTTGTGTTGCAGCGATTGGTTGGTTTGTTGTTTTACGTCGCACTCAGCAATATTCCAGCTAAATGATGGTGGTCTGTAAATAATCGAGTCTGGACCAGACAATCCAGTGATCAACAGCATGAGCATTGATCTTCGCAATTGGGAACCGATGACATATGTCAACCAAGTCAGAGTCGCCTCTTACGACCAGCATGGGTTGCTGAAGATCACTTCTAGCCCGGAGATCTTCACGGGTCTGTGTCGCAACGAAATGTAACCTACTACGTCACTGCATGGTTATCTTGTTGCATGACGTCGTAGCACTTTATTAGTTTCTTTGCTTGTTTGAAATTAAGGGGAATGTTTAATCGATTTGCGAGCACCGGTATACACGCACGCACACACACACACACACACGCACGCACGCACGCACGCACGCACACAACGAATACATTCCAGTGGACACCATTAAAGATAAGTTCTCCCCCGTGTTCGTGTCCACTGTCAACACCGAGCGCCATGTTTGAACTTGGGTTACTGTGTCTCATGTGTCACAGACCCTTTAACATCCGGGTTAGAATTGCTCTTCAGCAGCCCATGCCTGTCGAAAGAGGCGACTAACGGGATCGGGTGGTCAGGTTCGCTGACTTGGTTGACACATGTCATCGTATCCAATTTTGTAGATCGATGCTCATGTTGATCACTGGATTGTGTGGTCCATGCTCGATTATTTACAGACCAATATAGCTGGAATATTGCTGAGTGCGGCGGATTATGCTCCTGAAAAAAGTCTCACATAGGTTTCATATAAAATGAATTACGTTTATAACCACACTTGCCGTTTATGCTAGTCGACTACGGCTACACCGAACTAAAATTCGTTTTCCATTGAGTTCGTTATAACCGTAGATAATAAGAAAACCAGGATACTTCATGGATGTCAAGATCAACCGTAGTGTGCCAGTAGCTCGTAGACACTCTGCATCGCTAGTTCATACACAAATAATGAAATAAAGAGTGTGCACGTGTGAGTGAGTTCGGTTTTACGCCGCCTTTAGCAATATTCCAGCAATATCACGGCGGGGGACACCAGAAATGGGCTTCACACATTGTGCCCAAGTGGACAATCGAACCCGGGTCTTCAGCGTGACGAGTAAATGCCTTAACCACTAGGCTACCCCACCGCCTCCTACGAAATTAAGAAAGTCGCAACTGTATAATAAGCAGTATTGGATTGATAGAAATAATGAGCGAACGAGATAAATCGACCTTCCCTTGAAGTGACACCCAACGCTACTAAGGCTACAAGGGCTACTGGGGCTACTACGTGCGGCACGCGCAAATTATCAGATGTGTTCTGGTGTTCGGTGGAACAGAAATAATATTAATGTTCAGCTTTACCTGCCGTTTGTCGTTTGATGTTTACCGTTATACATGTTACGTCAACACTTGCCTTTGTTCTCTTGGTATCATCAGGTGTTTTTCATGATGCCAAACATATTTCCAGAGTATATTATTTGTAGACCCATTGATAAAGATAATTAAAACACTCTAGGTGATTAACTGATTCTTACATTAGCATTGCTGGATTGCAAAATACCTGTCACAAAAATAGAACTGGATCAAAGCTGAACGCCCATTTACAGTACACCTTAAGGTCTCTCAGAAAGTCTTTGTAACGATTGTGCACTGCTTGTGATTGGGTTGACATATTTGTATTGGTTTATTGGATCTAGAGTATTTGCAGACAGTGTTTAAGCATTGGATCAATGGGTTAAGGGTTAGGATGCCTCAAAGTCAAGTGATTTGCACTCTTCTGAAAATGTATATGTCCTTTAGTGCACAGATGTACTTGGGGAGAAAGAAGTACTTGAACATATTGTTATAACTGAAGGGTATTGATTTCAATTAACTATCAGAAACCCTATTGATTTTCTATGTTTAGCTTCTCATGTACAAGGAACCTTTTTGTACTACTTCAGTGTTATGTTCCAGGGTGAAATAAAATGGAGTATGTAATAGCGAAGAAGGAAGTTGATGGCTGTCTTAAAAATGCGAGCAACAGCAAAACCACAATTAATATCATCAACAGCGACAACTTATTAACATCACCAACATAACCACATAATTCACAAACGTCACTACCACCACATAAGTGAGTGAGTGAGTTAGAATTTAACATCACCTCGGCAATATTTGTGTGGCCATATAGTGACGAGGGGTTATAAGTGACAACAGTAAAGCAACAATGCCTTAGAATGCAGTGGAAGAAAGTGTATGCGTTGTGTGGCGCC